ATACTTATATAGATGCAGTAGAATCTCATTTCGTGATCAATAGAAATCCAGATGATTTCACACTATGGCATGATCGCCGCTGTCACCCAGGTACCTCAATGATGTGTAACATCGTAGAGAGCTCACATGGTCATTCACTAAAAATCCAGGAGATATATCAGGGAAATAAAAAGACATGTGCTGCATGTTCTCTTGGAAAATTGATCATTAGGTCATCACCAACCAAAATCGATATAGAATCACCAAAGTTCCTTGAACAAATTCAAGGAGATATTTGTGGACCAATACATCCACCATGTGGACCTTTCCACTATTTCATAGTACTAATTGATGCATCCAGTAGAAGGTCACATGTTTGTCTATTATCATCTCGAAATATGGCATTTGCGAGATTTCTAACTCATATAATCAAGTTGCAAGCTCAGTTTTCTGAATATCCCATTAAGAAAGTTAGATTAGACAACGCTGGTGAATTCACATCCCAATCATTCAATGATTATTGTATGGTAATGGGAATCGAAGTTGAACATTATGTAGCTCATGTTCACACACAAAATGGTTTGGCTGAATCATTAATCAAAAGTTTGCAATTGATTGCAAGACCATTGATCATGATATCAAAACTTCCAACCTCTGTGGGGATATGTCATTTTGCATGCAGAAGCACTCATTCGGATAATTCCAAGTGCGCATCATAAGTATTCTCCATTACAGTTAGCATTTAGTCGAGAACCAAATGTTTCTCATTTAAGAATCTTTGGTTGTGCCAGTAGCACCACCACAACGAACAAAGATGGGACCACAAAGAAGGTTAGGAATATATATTGGTTATGATTCTCCTTTAATTATACGGTACCTTTAACCACAAACAAGAGACATATTTACGGCACGATTTGCCGATTGTCATTTTGATGAAAATGTATTCCCGGTTCTAGGGGGAGAAAATAAAGAAATGGGAAAGGATATAAAATAGAATGTACCAACATTATTACACCTTGATCCTCCCACCAAACAGTCTGAACTAGAAGTTCGACGAATTATGCATTTGCAGAGTATAGCCAATCAGCTACCAGATGCATTTGCAAATACCAAAACGGTAACTAAATCCCATATACCAGCTGTGAATGCTTCTGCTCGTATTGAAATACCACGGGAACGTGAAAGAGAAGATGATACACATGAGTCCAAAACACGCTTGAAGCGTGGTAGACCTGTCGGTTCTAAGAATAAAAATTCTATAAAGCAAAAAAAAGTTGAAATGCAGAGCACACCCAAAATAGCGGAAAATATTTTGGAGGAAGAAAAACATGAAACAAATGATAATGCAGAACATCATGAAACCGAAAGAAATCATGAGATTTCTATCAATTACATCCATAATGGAAAGATATGGAATTGAAATGAAATGGATGATGTTGATGATGTTTTCTCATACTTTGTGTCTAAAGACATAGAGGAGAAAAACGAAGATCCAGAACCTAAGTCCATGTATTGATGTCAAAAGAGACATGACTGGATAAAATGGAAGGACGCTATACAAGTAGAACTTGATTCACTTAATAAGTGTAATGTATTTGGACCGATTGTGCTCACACCTATAGATTTGAGACCAGTTGGATGTAAATGGGTTCGTTCGAAACAAAACGAGAAAAATGAAATTATTAGCTATACGGCTTGTCTCGTAGCCCAAGGTTTTTCTCAGAGACCTGGAATAGATTATGAGGAAACATACTCTCCCGTTATAGATGCATTCACATTTAGATTCCTGATGAGTCTAACAGCTAATGAAAATCTAGAGATGCGTCTGATGGATGTCGTTACAACATATATTTATATGGAACATTAGATACTGATATCTATATGAGGATTCCTGATGGATTTAAGATGTCAGCAGCATTAAGTTCCAAACCCAAAGAGTTATGTTCAATAAAACTGCAAAGATCTTTATATGGGTTAAAGCAATCTGGACGTATGTGGTACAATCGTCTTAGTGAGCATCTAACGAAAGAAGGATATGTGAATAATCTAATATGCTCATGTGTTTTCATCAAGAAAACAACATCTGAATTTGTAATAATCGTGGTTATGTTGATGATCTAAACATTATTGGAACTCAAGGGGAAATACAAAAGGCATCAAATTATTTGAAAGGAGAATTTGAGATGAAATATCTCGGACAGACAAAGTATTGTCTAGGCCTAAAAATTGAACATTCTCAAAATGGTATTTTCGTACATCAATCTGCATATACCAAAAGAGTGTTAAAACGCTTTAACATGGATAAGGCAACTCCTCTAAGTGCACATATGGTCGTTAGATCAGTTAAAGTTGAAAATGATCTATTCCGACCACATGAGGAAAATGAAAAAAATACTTGGTCCTGAAGTACCGTATCTAAGTGCAATTGGAGCTATTATGTACCTTGCAAATTGTACGCAACTTGACATATCATTTGCTGTTAATCTTCTAGCAAGATTCAGTTCATCTCCTACACGAAGACATTGGAATGGGATTAAACATGTCTTCAGTTGCCTTCAACGGACTACTGATTTAGGTTTGTTTTACCCTAAAAGTTCAGATGGACAAATGGTTGGTTTTACAGATGCAGGATATCTGTCAGATCCACACAAAGCCAGATCTCAAACAGGATACGTTTTCGCAATCAGAGGCACAAATATATCTTGGTGCTCTCAGAAACAGACGCTTGTGGCCACTTCTTCGAACCATGCTGAGATCATCGCACTTCATGAACCAAGCAGAGAGTGTGTACGGTTAAGATCAATAAGCCAACACATCCGATCAAGCAGTGAAATTCGCATAAATACAGAGCCAACTATCTTGTATGAAGACAACGCCGCATGTGTTGCCCAAACCAAAGAAGGATACATCAAACGTGATAGAACCAAACATATCCCTCCAAAGTTTTTTTCATACACTCAGGAGCTCGAGAAGAATAAAGAAATTGAAGTAAGATATGTTCGATCGTGTGACGATGCAGCAGATCTCTTCACAAAATCATTACCCACCACTGTGTTCAGAAAGCATGTCTATAATATCGGAATGTGTGAGCAACAAGACCTATAAGATGACACCCCGTTCATTCAAGGGGGAGCTTACGTGGTTGTACTCTTTTTACCTGGCTATGGTTTTTCCCACTCGGTTTTCCTAGAAAGGTTTACTAACGAGGCAACAAAGATGTTAAGCAATAAGCGATAGTGACATTAGTCTCCAAGAGGGAGTGTTACAAAAATCAGCAAAAGAGAATGTGCAAAGTCACAAAAACAAACTGCCTGCAAAACGTGATAAATTGTGGAGTCCATGTCACTATGCACACACATTAAAATTTTCTTTTTAACTTCTATATAAACGAACGAATTCGTTCATTATAAAACATCATCTCATCTTCTCAATATAAATAGTAGTAAAACTATTTTTCTCTCTTGTTTTTTTATTCAATATCCTAATTTCTATAGCTATAAATTTTTATTTTTATTTATATTTATCTATACGATAAATTATGTAGCATATTATAACATAAATAACTTTTTGGATAGTTTTGGGGTAATTTATGAGTTCGAATATTTAGGAACCAATATGCATCGAAACTAAAAGAATTTTGTTTTATGTCAGTTTTTAATCATTATCTGAACTGACCAAACCAAGATATACTCAACTAATCGGAACCAAAACTTTTTAGTTTCTCTAAACATTATAAACCTCTCTATTCCAACTACCTAAAAGCTAAGAACTATATACTTCGACCTGTATTTATGCTTGGTCATGGTAAGAGCTCAAATCAGTAGATGGAAAACACGATCAAAGACTGTAAAACACAGTCAAAATGAAATTGAAGTTTGTCGAGCTGAGAAATCGAGAGACAAAGCGGAAACAAGAAGATCTCCGGCGAATTACCAAGAAATCAAGATGAATCGAAAGAGAAGAGTTACGATCGAGAAAGTGTTTAATTCGTTTTGGCTCTAATACCATTTTACCAAAGAGAAGCTAAATAACTCTCATCTCATTGATTAATTAAAATGTACAATTGGGTTCGGTTTATATACAATACTTGACCAAAGTAACTGGAAAGCTTAAACCAAGAGATAGATTAAAGAGGTAGATTTCATGCTTTAAAATGAAATGAACAAAACCATATACACTAATAATGCACAACCCTAATTCTACCAAGCTTGATGATTCTTCAACATTTTTTACTAATTTTTCCTTACAAAAGTATGGATTAATGGATTGTCGCTGGCTTTTAGTGGTTGTGGTCTTCTTGGGCTCTGTTTTTCAGTCTTCTTCAGCGTAAAAAGTTAGTATAGTCCAACTGAGGTTCTTCTTCGGGTTTTGACTCACAGCAAGCGGTCGAGCTAACCATTTCTTCTCCTTACCCTCTGTTTTTTGCTTTTTTTATTTTGCCTTTTTGTTTCGAATGCTTTGTTGGGATTACAATTGAGTATCACTCTTCTGTATCACACAACTATATCCCACTTATGTATCATTTCAACGTTTGGTGTGATATTATTTTCAAATGACAAAAAAAGTATGGATTCATGGATTATGATATACCACTAAAATAGTAATTATTCGGCCTGAAGCTTTAAGAGATCGGATTATATATTGGAAATGCGGCTTTAAGAGAGTGAGTATAAATAGATTATGAATTTAGAAAGACATCATAAGTATTAATTGCTCTTACCAAGTATTAAAAATCATATAAAATGTGTAAACCCCAACCTCTAATAAAATCATTGATTATAAAATCCACAGTTCCACATCCATGATTTTCAGTAAGCTCCTTATTCAACCTAGATATTTATTTGGTTTTCAATAACATGTCACGTGTGACCACTTACCACCGTGTGGAAAATGCAGCCAGTTCGCTTAGCTTTTTAGCATATGATTACACACCGCCGTCGTTTAAGCTCTGCATCGGCAATTTATTCCGTACCTTCTCCCATTCTTTATTCATTTTCAAGTACAAAAAATCGTACAAGAAAATGAGATTTCTCCGACTGCTAACGATTTTGAGCCTCCTCCTCATAGTGAAACCAATCTCAGCCAAATTCTACACCAACATTTCTTCCATACCACCGTTACAGTTCCTCAACGCCACGCGCAGCGCGTGGGAAACTTTTGAGAAACTCGCCGGTTGTCATGTCGGAGATAAAGCCGACGGTATCTCCAAACTCAAACAATACTTCCGTCGTTTCGGTTACATCGCCTCCGCCGCCGCCGTCGATAATTTCACCGACGATTTCGATGACGTCCTCCGCTCGGCGATCAACACTTACCAGAAGAATTTCAACCTCAAAGTCACTGGTAAACTCGACGCCTCGACTCTCCGGCAGATCACTAAACCGAGGTGCGGGAATCCGGATTTAATAGACGGATTTTCGGAGATGAACGCCGGAAAGAAATTCCGGAGGACGGAGCGGTACTCGTTTTTCCCCGGAAAGCCACGGTGGCCGAAACAGAGACGAGATCTGAGCTACGCGTTCGTGCCGGCCAACAATCTCACCGACGACGTGAAGCAAGTGTTCGCACGCGCCTTCTCGCGCTGGGCAGATGTCACTCCGCTGAACTTCACGCGCTCGGAGTCACTCCTCGGCGCCGATATAGTGATCGGATTTTTCGTCGGTGAGCACGGAGACGGAGAGCCCTTCGATGGAGCAATGGGAACACTAGCGCACGCGTCTTCTCCGCCTACTGGGATGTTTCATCTCGACGGCGATGAGGACTGGCTGGTCTCGGAAACCGAAATCAGCCGTCGGATATTACCGGTAACGTCGGTGGTGGATCTAGAATCCGTCGCGGTTCACGAGATCGGACATCTTCTGGGGTTAGGTCACTCGTCGGTGGAAAATGCCATTATGTATCCGGCGATTTCCGGTGGAGATCGGAAGGTGGAGTTAGCGAAAGATGACATTGAAGGAATTCAGCAACTGTACGGAGGAAATCCAAACGGAGACGGTAAAACAAGCGTTGGAGCTAAGTCCGGCGTCGATTGCATCCGCCGGTGGAGAGGGTTGGTGCTTAACAGCCTATCATCGTTTGCCACGTGTATATTCTTGATTTGTTTTTAGCTTTTGTGACAGATCTGGGATTTATTCTTTTGACATTTTGACACTGAGGTCATATTCGATTTTATCATTATTTCTAGAAGTAAATATTCTCTATCTGATCGGGAAAGATAAACGTAACCGTATCAAAACCGGATCAGACGTAAACCGGACCGGACCGTTTTCTTCTTCTCCTGACTTCGATTTTTTTCATATTAATCTGTTTGCTTCCTTCCACATACAGTAACTAAAGTACCTCACTTTTACGAAGATCATCATAGTAACATTTTCATGCAAATTTTACCATGATGAATTCAATACAATGGTTATTTTGATATGATCAAAAGTATCTCCATAGATTAAGCCAACATCATCTTTGGTTAAAGATCACTTACCACAATCAGATGGTCTAAAATCTGGTTAGGCTTTCGTGTTTGTTGCCTTGTGTACTGAGTTTTTGGTTTAGCAAGGTCTAAGTCTAAGATCATATATATGCCACAAGACTGTTTATAGCTAAAACAAAAATTCAATAAGTAATTATAAGTTGAACTTGAGACTAAGTCATTACAATCACACAAAAGAGCATACTTTATGCTGATAGAGAGAGCTAACAAATCTGCGGCGGACGAGGAACCGAGCCCATCCACGGTGGAAGCACGAATTGGGACAACACGATGACATCAGTAGAATGTTCATTGCGATAAACAATCATATGACTCTTAGAATCGTTCTTGTTTATGCGACAACAACAACCTTCAAGGCTACTCCAATTCTCTGATTCTTGATGAACAATAAACTCTAGAGTCCTCAAGTTACCCGAAACCAAACACTCGTGCTGTCGACTCCACAGATAGATGATGTCAGCGTCGTAAGGATTCATAGCCAACGGAAAACAAAAGACATCAAATCCAACAGAAGCCATGTCGATTTCTTCTCTCGACAATTGCCACCATTAATCCTCAGAGTTGTTATTGTTCTTGTTCTTGTTGTTACACAGCTTCCAAATCTTCAACCTTCGATACAGTATCTCTACGTACAGAACATCTCCTCTTGAAGTAGTCAAGCATCTCCTAACGTATTTGTTATCCGGCAAAGGAAATGGTATAACCCGACACTGATCATCATCATCATCTCCTTTTTCAGCATAGAAGTCATAACCTACAAGGACTCCGAACTCAGTATCAACCGATCCACATCTATTATCCCACATGTAAAGCTTCCCATCGAGATTCAATGCAGGAACCAAACCAGAGACACGACAAGAGGAGCGAATCCGCTTAAAAGTCCATAAACCTGTCTCAGAAGAATACACATACACACTCCATACATTCATCATTCCCATCTCCGTACGTTCAACTTTAGTCCTAACAACTTTAAAGCTCGAAACGGCACCGTTCTCAACACGCGTTACCAAACCTGTGGGGGAAGATTTAGATGGAGGCGGAGGGATTTCCACCCATTGCTGTAAAACTGGATTACCAACGAAGGATTTTAAATATTCCGTCGAGTTCCTGATGGGAATGGTGAAGGCATCGATCCAAACCAATCCATTGGAGGAGGCTACATAGTGGCAAAGGAGATCTGAGTACCTTTCAAAAGGCGAAATGTAAGAAGCAAGAGATTTCGGGAGATCCCATGCGTTGCATCCATGAAAGCCAATAGCCTCTGTGATGGGAAGACGAAGCGCGAACATGAGCGACCAGGAGGAAGAAGAAGATGATGAGGGGGAGCTTCGGTGGACAGAGACGAAGAGGCGGCGGAAATACGGCGATTCGATTTCCGATTTCCATTTTATGCAGACCAATTTGAATCTTGCGATGGTTCGCAGGGGTAATCGAGCAAGTATCTCCACCAATATCGCATCCGAGATTGTTCTTCCCATCTCCGTTTCGATTTTGCTGATTTTCGTCAGGGGATTAGGGTTCCCTTCGCCACTCTCTGTCATACGCCTTTTCATTTTCGGTCAAGGGTTTGAATTTAATTTGGGCGGAGAGCAGCTATTTAACTCTGGGATTATAGTTTTTAATTTTATATCAGTGTTCTGAAATACATTTCAAGTCAATATAGCCGTATATACGGTGTATAATATATGCTTTTAGTGTACTATTTTTGTTTTATACAGTAAAATAATATATTTTAATATATACAATCGAATATACAGCCTATGACTTATTTTTAATATTTTTCATAATTTTAATTTATAAAATAATACTAATTATGAATATGAATTTCATTTATAAATTAGTATTGAGTTATATATAAAAGTATAACTCAAATATTTGTTATGTACTAAGACTCATATACGTATATGCGGATTTATGATAATTAAATTTAAAATTCATTAAAACAATTTTTTAAAAATAGAAAATAAAATTGAATTATTAGTGGAAAAAATATATTTAAAACATAAAATTAAAATTTAATAATTATTTATTTTAGTTTTTATTTATTTTTAATAAAAATATTTAAATCACATATTTTTTTTTATGGATCTTAAGCACAAAATTACGGGTTTTTTTTACTTTTCTTGTAAGCTGTAATGTAACATTTTATCAACTATTTTTTTCTGTTTTGCTGTGTTAAAACTTGGATATACAATTCGAGTTTTCGAATATGTTAACTTTCTCCCCTATTAGCTCTCTTTAAGCAGATAATGTTTATCTTTCTCTTCACTTATCTCTCGTATATGATATATATAGGTTATGCTTCTCAAAACTCGCGTCAAGAGCTTCTCTACATGATTTTTGCGAATTCTCCTCCCCATTAAGCTTTTCATCTTCCAATATCATATCATTAACATCTACAAATTTTGCATATATTTGTTTTTGAATTATCTAATTATTGAATACCAAAAACACTCTAAATGAATACAATATTCAGCAAACGAATCATAAAAGGATAAAAATTTAGAATACCACACAAATTATAATAGATAAAAATTAGAATACCGTATAAAGTATTTTAATAATAATATAATAAAAAAGAAAATTATATCTATAAAATGAAGCTCAATCAGTATTATTTTGTGTCATGAAAAATTATGAGAGACTTTATTTTGGTAGTATTTTTTCATTTTTATTTTAAAATTAATATTTATTCATTTTTGTTTTCCAAATCAAAATATTTTTTTTATTAGCTTTTGTTTTTTTTCTTTTCAAATTAGTATTTTCCTTTTTCTTTTAAGATTAATGTTTTTAATTATTTTCCTTTTTCAAACTGAAATATTTTATTATTATTATGTCTCGAACACGTAGGCCTGGGATAAAAATCCAAACCGAAGTAACTGTACCAAGCCGAACCAAACTTTTCAGTTTTCAGTTCTGATTCGGTTACTTAGGTAAAACCGATCAGTCAAGTTTACACTCTGATTTGGTTATTAGTTTCGTTCGGTTTGATTAACTGAACCGAACGGTTATCTGTTTTTTTTTCAAATCCACTAAATATTATTTGAGAAGTAACATTATTGAAAATAGTTGACTTGTCAACACCACAGCCAAAGTTAGTGCTTTTAATTGATGACATGCAAATGTGACATGTCAAATTTCCTAAAATAAACGAAATATTTTGATTGGTTGAATTAAAATTATAGAAATTATGGAATTAAAACATAAATAAACTAAATTATATTTATTACACAAAAATCAATAACTTTAAATTAATAGAAAATAAAAGCTATTATAATTTCAATTTTTTACATATATTCATAATTTCATAAAATATAATTACAAATTTTTTCAACAATATATATATATATATATTATAATTTCATATAAAAAAATATAAAATTATTCAATAGAATAGTAAAAATTCTATTTATTAATAATACTTTAAGTATGATATATTTTTATTTCGGAAAGTTATTAATTTACAAAATATATTAATAACATCTAAACAAGTTTTAAATAAACAAATTATTAAATAATACAATTTTAAATAAAATACAATCATGATAAAAAATAATTTAAAGAATAAAATATTAAAAATAATAAAAAATAATTAACTTTTATTGAATTTTTTTTTAAAACGCAATTTTAAAAAAAAATTCTTTTCAAACCAATATTTACTAAATGAATAAAGTATATACTAATTACTATTTTATAATATTAATAGGACCATATATTTTTCTATAACTTTTATCATCTTTTTATTGTTGTTTTCTAAAATGTACATAATTTATGTTACCATCTCATCTTATCTCTTATCATATTTTAAATAAAAATAAATTTTTATATCATATTAATATATATACATAAATTTATTTTTATTGTATATAAAAATTTTGAGATCATAAATAAATTAAAAAATAACCGAACGAAAGAATAAATTATAATAAGAAGAAACAATATGAATAAGAAATAAAAATAGAAGTATATAAAAATAAATCTCTCGCCTTTTGTTTTATAAAGTCACTTAAAAAAAAATTAACACGTAAAAGTCATATTTCAATTTTTTTACAAATACACGTACATACATAAATATTAATTGTACATTAGTTGAAATCACATGCAAACTTTTTCGTGCATGTATTTTGTTAAGATTGATTACAGTCTAATTTTTATTTTAATTATTATATAATTTATATTTTTTAAAAAAATCTTTATCTATTCCAAGTGTACTGAGGTGGTTGGTATGTCCGCATATGCGTGCCAACCATCTATCCGCTCTTAGGAATAAGTAAAAGTGGTAAAAACTATTTCAGTTTAATTTGCAATAAATCAAAAAAAATATATACTTAAAATATATTATATAGGTATTAGCAAATTTATATTATGTAAGACGCACAAAACCATATTGTAGATTGTGTAAAGAGAAATAAAACATATTATAGAAATATTAAAAGAATTTAATTATCATTTAACATAACTTTTATATTTGTGATTATATATTATTACAAGCATTATAAAAATAAATTTTTTTAAAATACATTTGTTTCAAAAAGAAGTTTGTGAATTATTAAAACAATATATATATACAAATATACCAATGTTTAAAAAACTAATCAATATTTAAATATCACAATTAACTATGTATATCAAAAAAAAATATACCCGCACATATGTGCGGGCCAACTACCTAGTTCAAAATTATATAGAAACAAACCGGAATATCTTAACTATTATTTGAGAAGAATGTTTGATGAAAAAATCTGATTTGTCATCATCTTAGCAAAAGTTAGTGCAAAACAATGCTACCTCATAAATGTGACATGACAAATTTTCTAAAATAAACAAAATGTCTTAATTGGTTAAATTAAATATAAATAAATCTCATTATTAAATAAGAAAATTTATATTATATATGAATGAATTCTCATTATATAGTAAGAATTCAAAATTATAAAAAATAAACAGATAGAAAAATAAAATATAAGTATCATGTTAGCTAACTTTTTTTATTATAATACTATATATATGAATAAAAAGTAGAAGTAAAAGTAAAAATGAATCTTTACGACTTTAGTTTTATATAAAAATCTCAGACTATATTTTTGGCTTAAAATATCTTCAACCCACCTTTATTTTAAATTTTCTAATTTAGTGAAAAAAAAAGTTGTTATTTTTTCTTTCAATTATAGAGGAAAAAATAACAATCTTTTTTTTCCTGTAAAATAGAAATAGGTTGGAGAGAAGTCAACTTATATTTTAGAGAAAAAAGTAGAAAAATAAATTGGAGATGATCTTAATGTTTAATATATTATTAAATGTTAAGAAAAAAAGTATGAGTCAAAAAATACAAAAAAAAATAATTTCAAGATTTTATTTGAAATATTATCTTACACTTATTAATTCTTTGATGCATATATTTTTTCTAACATATTAAAATATTATTTCATGAATCAAGTTCTGTATATGTTATGATCCATTATATTTTATATTAACAAATATATTAAAGTTAGGAACATATCAACTCTTAATTTTTAATAACAATCAAATATTAAATTTATTATTTTATACTTTAAATCATACACATATACGTTTAGATCCAATTGGTTTAAACGATTGGATTACAGAAAGTTTGTGGAATCGAGCGATTGCGGATTATGAAAAATTTGACGAAGGTATGAGATGAGAGCTACCAGATATATTTTTTTTAAAATATGATTTTACAAATTTTATAATAAAATTTTATAATATTTTTATTGAGAAACCACATATCATCAAACGCTGAAAAATAAGAAACTTTAATTAAATATAAAATAATAGAAACAGTTTTCGTGATTGTTTGTTAAACGCCAATAACTGCATCGCGTAAAAACATAACCTTTGCGAAAATAACAGAAAAACTTATCAATACCAGAAAAATACCGGAAAATACCTAAATATTACAATTCATTTATTTCAAATTCACACCTACATGCATAAATATACTTATTATTATTATTTTTTAAAAATCAACCCTACATTATAAAAATATATATACAAAACATATACTTTGATTTTTTACAAATATACGTGTAGATATAAATATTAATTGTCCAAAAGTCAAACTCGAATTCAAACTTGTCGTGCATAGATTTTGTTAACTTCGATTACATTCTAAATTTAATTTTAGTTGTTAGACAATTTATATTTTTTAAAAATCTTTATACGTCCTAAGAGCGGTGAGGTGGTTTGTACTCACAAATGTGCATGCCAAAAATCTACACCCGCTCTTAGGATAAATAAATATGGTGGAATTCATTTTCATTTAATTAGCAATAAGTCAAGGAAAATGTAAACTTAAAATACATATTGGTAAGATTTTATTATGTAAAGAGAAAAAGAAAGTATTATATAGATAATATTCAAATAAGAATTTAATTATTATTTAATATAACTTTTATATTTGCAATTATATGTTACTGTAAATGCTAGGAAAAAATAAAGATAGATTAAAAACACAAAACGATATGAAACGTTTGTGTGATTGTTGTTGAAAACTAAAATTGTATATGTATAAAAACAT